CAAAGGAATAATACGTAGTAGCTCAAAGGAACGTTGATCATTGCAAAATGTGAAGTTTCTGTTTTCTATTCTTTGTGTAACCATGAATACGTAGTTCAGCCATACTATCTAAATCTATCTGTCCAATGCTGTTTCTGTTTCAATGTGTTAAATGAATAATTTATCACTATAAACCATCTATTTGAAGAAACAATTTTTGAATTAGATTAAAAAAATAATTCTGATACGATTATAAATTTACATAATCACTCGTGGAATTATGCTTCTTAAATTTTAAAATAAAATTATCTATTGGGGTTTTTTCTGATCACCTTTCAATGTATTCAACAGAAAAGCTCGAAGTTTTCTCCGCCATCTCAAAGCTCGAAGTATTAAGAATGCGTAAATGTAAAATTTTTACCAGTTTTTCAAGCCTCTTTACCTTTGAATCGATTAAATTACAGTAGTATTAAGGAAGATACTTCTTATGCGCCAGATTTAAGTTATTATAATTTAACGCCTCCAATTGTCGACCTACAGTATTGATATTATTCACAGCGTTAAGATTACATTAAGTATTTTGATAATACAAAATCAATGTCATAAACATATGGGATATTTATTCACTTTAACTTTCCATAACTTCACCAAGAACACTGTTAGGGCTGCTATCGGTTTGAAGTTTGTACAAAGGAAGAGGGTTTAGCACAAAATTCACATGCTTATTCCATAAAAATAATCTTTGTAAAAAATTTAACGAGAAGAAATCATTTTTACCGTTTTATTAGCTGTTCAATTAGATAGTCATTCCTGAATTGAACTGGGTGTGTAGAAATCAGACTCATTTCTTTGATCTCAACACTAGGATAAATAAACATCAAGCTGACTAGTTTCAAACAAGATGAAATACATGTCCTCAGCTTCAGTACCAGTGGAAATTCAAATTAACCACTCTGGGTTGGAGGAATGTGTATAAGCACTATGAGATAGGGCATAGTTTCACAATGATTTCTTCCTTCAATTTCAAACACTGATATTCGTCGTACCTATATATTAAAGTCAATATATTATCTGACCGCCGCATAAAACTGTAGCTATTATTATATCATAACTCTTTACAGTTTAATTCTCCCTAGTTTCTAAATAGCTTATTAATTAATGTCAATTCATGACAAAATGTTTCGTCACAGAGAAATTTGTTCAATTTTCAATTGTTCACTTCATAATTATACGTGGCTGGTTTATTTACAATGAACTATCAGATAACATAATACAAAACAATTTTCTTTAAAAACCTAATTTTCTTAATAAACCATTTTTAAATCATATCACTTAACTACAACAGACTAACATCCCAAAAAGAAGGTAAAACGACATCATTCTTAACAAAATATAAAATGAAATGTTAAGCCATTTTTTTTTAGAAAAAAAAGTAAATAAATCCTGATTATATAAACATTTCTTAGATCAAATCAATCTCTGACGTATAATAAACAACAGAAAACTGTTTTATCCTTCATGAAAACAGAGATGATTTTTTTTATGATATTTGCTTACATAGAACTTTACGTTACCATGACTTGAAGGATGAATTTTTTTTCTAGAAAAGTAACTATCATGATCATTAAAAAAAAGTTAATTTTTATATTTTATGTATTTATTTATTGTACCAGTGACTACCCCTACATTTAACAATGTTTATTCAACTGGATTTCAACTAAGTTACTAAATTAAAATAGATCCTGCTGTAAAAAAAAAATTTGTTATCTAAAAACCATGATATATTACTAATTAATAATAATATTATTGTTATTATTGTTTATAGATTTATCAATGATTCAGTGACTAAATTTCCGTGAAGATCTTTACTGTATATTTCAGTTCATTCATTCTCTGTCATCATGATTGTTTATATTTGTACAAACACACACACACACACCAAACGCAGACAGACACACACTTAAACACACACAGACATGTAAACTTGAACATACATCAGTTCAACAGTACACATTGAACATAGACTTCCAATAATGATGTAACAAATTAGTGGCCAAAACAAAATGTATATTTTGAAGAAGAAGAAGAAGCGGGAAAAAATTTGTCTACTTTAGTTGATAAACAGATTGTTATCGAAATGTTTGCTTTAGTCAACTTGAAAGAATGATTAATAAATGTGCGTTTTTTTTTGTTGTGTTATGAATTCAAAAGAAAAAATAAAATTTTCTTTCTGTTTTTAAAGAAAAAGAAATATCAGATAAGAATAATTTAATCTTTACAAAGAAGAAAATGTTCAATAGTTTTCCTTATTATTGGACTATTGAAATAACAACAATTTATTTGCAAGTTTGATACATTACTAGGCGTCGGTTATATCATTCAAGTCTGTTTGAAAATAATATCACTGACTTTTTTTATGAATTAGTCAGTGTATACGACTTAAACTAACTAGTTTTGTGTAAAATTAAACACATAACTAAGACAATGTGTATGATAGAATAAAATATTTTTCTCTCAGCCAAATGTTATAAATTTTTTTTGAAACTATGAATCGATCATTGTCAGACCACCATTAGAAATCTAAAGGTACTGGATGGCTATTTCATCGTAGTACGGAACTCACAGGCAGTGCACAGCCACGATCCCACTTGCGGAAGTCGAACTCAGGAATTTTAGTCTCATGCGCCAACGTTTAACTTCTAGACCATTAAGCCAACATCCAACTGTGTCAGTGTCTAATTTTAATCAATTCCTGATGTTATGCTGTTTGCAAAATTTAAATAATAAATTAGATGAGAAGCATTCATTATCACACTTGTCAACATTTGAGACTCTTCAAATCTGTTTCGTAATTTCACTCAATTAGACTCTTTAATTCATCAAATAATTAGCTTAGGGAAGATTGGTTAGCTTTATAAACATACGAAATCAGTTTATTTTAATGATTTTGGTTGTGACAGATTGCTCGGACAGATTAGTTTTTATCTTCACGAGTCATTGTGTTCTTGTTGATGATTTTAGGAAATTGTTACTTGAGAATATCACTTAATTACTTACTTATCCTGTTACTTTCAATGGAACATAGGCTGCCGACCAGTATTGTCCAACCTACTCTGTCCTGGGCCTCATTTCAGTCACAATTTCTCGGAGCAGTGTGTTACTTCGCCTTCCTCTTTTAGTTTGCCGTTGAGGGTTCCAAGTGAGGGCTTCTCTTGTTACGCAGTCGGGTGCTTCTCTAAATAGGTGTTCTATCCACGTTCAGCAATTCTTCATGATTTCCTTCTCCACTGGAATCCGGTTTGTTCTTTCCTACGGTAGATTGTTGTTGATGGTATCTGGTTGTTAACTGAACAGAAGCATTTTCCGTAGACAACTGTTTAGGAATACTTGTACCTTCTGGATGATGGCTTTGGTAGTTTTCTAAGTTCCCTCCACATACATAGAACTGTCTTGGCATTCGCATCGAAAATTCTGACTTTGAAGTTGGTTGATAGTTGTTTTGAGTTCCAGATGTTATCCACTTGTAGAAATACAGCCATTGTTTCGCCGATCCGCACCTTCACATCTGCATCAGATCCACCTTGTATGTTGATCGAAGTGTAATGCTTTTTGAAGTTTCCTATCGTTCTTATAATTTCCTTAATCCACAATTTCAGATATTATCCCATTCTTATTTTTTTGCCTTATTATAAATGAAATCATCTCCTAAAATTTTATTTCCAATCTAAGTTTGTGTATTACATGTGTCAGAGACAGTCACAAAAAAAACTAGCGATTGGTAAATTCGTACAAAAAAGAAACTTAACTCAAACGATGAATTACTTATTCGTAAAAGTTTAAGTTATGGAGCTATCGATACTCATGAATGAATTTAGATGATTTTTTGGTAGTTACATGCACACTGCGGGCCAGATTGTTTGAATTTAACCATTTTATTGTAAGTTATTTTTTTAAAAGTCAAAGTTGGATGGTGACTAGCAGTTTACATTTTAATGAAAAATTCAAAATTACATGAAATATGCATTAGACGATCCCATTGTCAATCACTAACCAACTCAGTTATGATATAATTGATCGAAACAAGTCATCTTCAATTCAACACAATTTAGTAATTGTCATTTTTAAAATGCTTTCAAGGTTATCCTGATATATATTTTTTTCTGTAAACAGACTACAGCTCAACAACAACAACAACAAGAAACCACTTGTTTCATAATGTATCACTGTTATTTATAAAAACACAAACTAAGTAATTCGGTAGAGAGAATCGCATACAGTTTAATGAAATTGCAATTCATAATTACACCCTTGAAAATGGATAATATTTGTCAATTAGTTATTATCCTAATGATTTATAAAGAACAACTGTTGAATTACACTGTATATATATTTATCTATCCTATCATTATCTATGTATCAATGAAATATTTCCATATGCAGCAGTAACTTAGTAACCTATTTTCAGCGTAACTATGACAACATTAATAATTGCAATTGAAACAAAACTCATATTATAAATAATGTAAACTTTTTATCGGTTCCTTTCATTGACTCCCTGTCATTTGGCTCTTTCATCCTTAATCAATAGGTACAATTGTTCTATGTAATTTTGGGGTAAGTTGTTATGTATTGGGGAATTTTTTTCTTACGAGAAGGCAAAAAATCACAGTTGATCAACTGATTTTTCAGTTTGGTTTATTTTTTTCCAAATGAATAAACACAATTGAAAGAAGTACTAAGTTAATAGTTGTTGTTATGTCAATAATCTATGGATAGAGGATGTTACAATAATCGTGGTGATAATGGGAGTACGAGTTGATGGTCTAGGGGCTAGATAACATTTTTATTGTTGATAAACCTTTAAAATTTGTGTGTATGTGTGCGGGGGGTGGGAAGTTAAGACAGATAACAAGTATAATCAAAATGATTATTCATCAAAAGTAACTTTATTGATAAGAAGTTTGCTTAAGAAAAAAAAGTTACCTATTTTGTAATCATTCAAGTACTTAATAGTAACTAATCTATTTACATTTATCGACCATACACACAGCATAGTGTAAATTACAATTCTAAAGACAAATAAAAACAATATGCAGATAGTATGAAATGAAAGTTTCTCTGTTGATTGCTAATTGAGAATACTTCTATATTAAATAATACAATGAATCGTAGGAATAAAAAATTGTTACTATATAGCATAAGATAAAATAGTATAAAATACATTAAAAAAAAAACAAACAAAGAACAATAATGCATTACACGTGTCATTTGATGTGCAGCATTAGACACTCTTCCATATGGAACGTATGTATGTGTGTGTTTATACATTTACAAACAAACATTTCTATGTATATATGTAGACAGCTACACAGGCTATGCCTATGTATATAGAAATTATGATGTTGAGCCCAATCTCTCGGTACGTGTATACATACATAATCAAGCAAGCCTCTGTAGTGATTTGCTTACACAGTCATACAAGATTAAAATAAACAGTAAATAAACAATTGAATATAAAAAAAATAATCCGTCGTTTGATGATAAATTAAAACATTATGATATCATCTTTTCAGGCAGAGTTTGAGAGGTTTGTGTTTCTACACATTTAAAATCATCAACCAATCATTGTTAGACTACCATCAGAAACCTGGAAGCACTGGACGGCCGTTTCGATTGATTGATGATTTCAAATATGTAAAAACACAAACCTCCAAAACTCTGCCCCGAAATAATTTTATCATAACAGTGCTCACTAGTGACTAGCTTCGTGAGGAAATTCTCGGAGTTCTAGTTGAGAAGACGTGACCAATGGAGTTCAACCCTGTCGGGTGTAGACAGTAACTACCAAAAACAAATGGGTGAAGTCGCGCAAAATCCGTAGATCAGTCAGAGTTAGACATTAACACCGTTGGATGCCGGCCCAGTGGTCCGATGGTTAAGCGTTCGCGCATAATACCGAAGGTTCCGGGTTCGAATCCTGCGAGGTGCAGGAGTCGTAGATGCGCACTGCTGATGTGTTCCATACCAGGATGAAATGGCTGTCCAGTGCTCCCAGGTCTTACGCGCGAACGCCTAATCTCTGGACCACTGGGCTGACATCCAACGGGTGCAGGCAATAACTACCAAAGACAAATGGGTGAGTGTGCACAAAATCCTTAGATCAATCAGAGTTAGACATTAACTCTGCTGATGAGTCCCATACCAGGATGAAACGGTCTTTCAGCGTTTCCAGGTATCTATTGGTGGTCTAACAATGATTGATTGATGATTTGAAATGTGTAACAACAATAATCCCCATAGCTCTAATTGAAAATTTTAAACTATGTAGAATAGGATTTCTTCATGATTGTATAGAAGGCGAATAAAAGTAGCGGGTGATTTGAAATTCTTTAAAATCACCAAGAATATAATAATTAAATCACAATTTAATGAAATTCAAAACTATTAACAATAACAAAAAATTAAAATAATAAAAGATTCTTAACAGTATATCGAAAGTTAATTAAGTCATAATTTACTGTAAATCAATAATAAAAACAGGATTCATCATGTTGAATGGTTAATTAAATTATATCATCAACATTTTAGTAAATAATAATAATAATAATAATAATAATAATATTGATTCATTACTTACTTGTCTTTCTGTTAAATGTAGTTTACAAGAAATTTCCCAACGTTTCTGTCTTGTAATATATGCATTACCCATAAATTCATTTTCTAATACCATTGTTTGATAACGTGTATACGGTTTACGTTTCTTTCTTGATCGTACTTCTAGTTTGAAAGATGAGTTGGTTGTTTAGATTGTAAATATGCAAATCAATCAATATATTGTTGTGATATTGTTTGTTTGTTCGTTTATATATAGATATTGGTTTTCATTAAAGAATGGAAATGGTAAAAATGAGAAGCAGAAGAAGAAACACAGTATCAGTAATGTACAAATGAAAATTATCAAAGAAAAGGCTATATATATATATATATATATATATATATATATATATATATATATATATATATATATATATATATATATATGATATTTTGTACAGCTAAACTGTCAGTTTAAATTTCTGCAGCATATCAAAGTATCTTTGCTCATTAAAACACAATTTATCATGTACGTTTTTCTGATACTGGATTTCTTGAAATTTAAACAAGTTTGTGGTTGGTTATCTTTCTAAATTTATAGAAAGATGATCAAATATTTAGGACTGTTATTGATTATAGAGTTGTGGAGATTGTTTTTTTTCATTGAAATCATGAATCAATCGTTGTTAGACCATTATTAGAAAGCTGGAAGCATTGGACAGAAGTTTCGTTCTTGTATGGAACTCTTAAGTAGTGCAAAACCATGATCAAAATTAAAAATTAACACCGTTACATGCACACTCAGTGGTCTAGAGTTCAAGCGTTCACGCGCGAAACCCATGGTCATGAGTCCGAGAGCCACTAGCAGACCTCGCAGATGTGCATTGCCGACGAGTCCCATACTAGGATGAAACAGCCATTCAGGACTTCCAGGTTTCTAATGGTGGTCTAACAATAACTGATTAAATTTATTCTTACAAGTAAATTAATAAAATTCATATAATTATTCTCATTTAAAAATGTCAACAATACAAGAATAATAATAATAATATTTGCAGAATACAATGAATTCATCGTATCTCTCTTCTTTCGGTTCATTGACATACACGAGCTAAAATGTTTAACAAATTCCAGTCGATAACTCAATGTTAAATGTAATTGTTCAAACAATTAAATACAATGTGAAGACTATTTCATGATAAGAGACGCACGAGTAAAGCGTTAGATTGCTTATCCAATAGACTAAAGAAAAATAGATCGTGAAGTAGGAGGATACCACATGCAAGTCGTTCCCAAACCAATAATGAAAGACTAATATGACCTTCAATACGAATTAGTTATCACACGTTTAAATGTTAATTTTTAGAAGTAATTTTTTATTAGCTACATAAATTGAAATCATGACAAGGTTTATTTAGATGACAGTTACGTTTGAATCTAAATTTCCATGTAATGATTGATATACAGGGTACAATAAAACTGCAATTTGTGAGCCCGATTATCTTGATCACAAAACATATGATAATTATAATACTGAATAGTTACCATTTATAAATTATCAACTTTGATTATATTCGTAATAAAAAAATGAATGAATGAATTTCGATTTCATCAACTAATAAGTAAGTTTTTTTTCTTTGAATTCAGTTGCTTAGTCAATCGCTGTTTAAGTGCTTTAACTATGCAGAGACGAGTTATGCATTGACCTTGGATCAGGACCTCCTCTGCCAGGAGATTCATTGGTTGACATAGAATATGTCGATGACATCGCTTTATTTGGTGTAGAAGTTGACAAAATGCGATGTCGCCTGACTACCCTAAGCGAAAATGCAAGCATGTTCGGGATGCGATTCCCCCCCCCCCCCTTGAAATTAAAAATGTTGCTTCAGTATTGACTTTCTTCGTCACCTGAACTGGTGATGGGGAGTGAAACAGTTGAGCTTGTCAACCGCTTCACTTATCTTGGGAGTCTCATCAGTGCTGATGGCCTGGTGGTGACAGACGAGATCTCAGCAAGGATACAGAAGGCTCGATTGACTTTTGCCAAGCTGCGTCACTTGTGGCGTGGATGAGATATCCGTTTGCTGACTAAAGTTTGAATGTACTGCTTAGTAGTTCGCTCCGTCCTACTTCATGGTTGTGAAACATGGCCAGCCAGAGTAGATATTCGTAGATTGCTGGTTCCCGATTATAGGTGTCTCCGAAGAATTGCTCGTGTATTCTGGGACAACCGATTAAGCGATGCTGTTGTTAGGGAACGGGTGTTAGGTAAGGATGGCAGATCAATAGATGAAGTAGTGAAACTTCATCAGTTGAGGTGGTTGAAACATGTGTTGCGTATGCCTAACCACCGACTGCCTCGTCGAGCTATATTTCGCGGTGTAGGAATTGGATGGACGAAAGCTAGGGGCGGCCAGACCAGAACATGGCACGAATCCATGAAGTCACTGACAAGTGGACTGAGTCATGTCGGTAGGTGTCGACTACCTGGTTGGTGGGGTACGCGAGATGATAATAATCGATGGTTAGAGCCCCTGAATGCGATGGCTCAAAACTGATAGCAATGGCTCTAGGGCATTCATTCTTTGTGTTCTCTCAAATCCTAACCTTCTGAATTGCTCATAACCTTTATCTTTTTCTTTTCCAGTTGATTTCACCATATTCTAGTTCTTGATTAATATCTTCGAACCCTAATCTCTTCGATTATTGATCATACTTCTACTACGTCTACTACTATGGGATTCGAATCGACAATTACATCTTTGTGCTGATATGGTATGGCAACATGAACTGATGTACGTACTTATGAAGTTCTACGTTGCTGTTTAATTATTAATCATTCGAATTTCAATATGTACTGAGGCTAACAATTAAGTTTTATCTTTTAATATCTTTTTTATTATAGAGTTGTGAAGATTGTTGAAATCATGATAGCCGTTTCGACCACCTGTGGGACTCATCTATTCGGAACATCTATCTATCCACTTGTTTTATTAATATTTGTAATTAAATCTTTTAGTTTAGAAATTAATTGTTATTTACATACCGAATAGTTTGATTAATAATTCTAATAACATTTTTACTATGTAGTATAACGAAATTAACATTATTAATTAACTCATTTTATATTGTTCAAATCTTTATAAATACTGTAGCTAGTTAGTAAGTAAGTAAGTAAGTAAGTAAGTAAGTAAGTAAGTAAGTAAGTAAGTAAGTAAGTAAGTAAGTAAGTAAGTAAGTAAGTAAGTAAGTAAGTAAGTAAGTAAGTAAGTAGGTAAGTAAGTAAGTAAGTAAGTAAGTAAGTAAGTAAGTAAGTAAGTAAGTAAGTAAGTAAGTAAGTAAGTAAGTAAGTAAGTAAGTAAGTAAGTAAGTAAGTAAGTAAGTAAGTAAGTAAGTAAGTAAGTAAGTAAGTAAGTAAGTAAGTAAGTAAGTAAGTAAGTAAGTAAGTAAGTAAGTAAGTAAGTAAGTAAGTAAGTAAGTAAGTAAGTAAGTAAGTAAGTAAGTAAGTAAGTAAGTTAGTTAGTTAGTTAGTTAGTTAGTTAGTTAGTTAGTTAGTTAGTTAGTTAGTTAGTTAGTTAGTTAGTTAGTTAGTTAGTTAGTTAGTTAGTTAGTTAGTTAGTTAGTTAGTTAGTTAGTTAGTTAGTTAGTTAGTTAGTTAGTTAGTTAGTTAGTTAGTTAGCCAGTCAATTGTGAAGATATTTTTTTGTAGTTATTGCTATGTAAACATTATCAGTTTGTAGTGAATAAATGAAATCGTATTTTTGGAAAGCTACTATTTAAAGGTGAATTATAGTGAAGCGATCTACATCATTGAAATTGACATTGAGTTATGATATGTAGACATTAATTACTTTACAATCGCCGGTCATTCGGTTTACAATTCATACTCATATGGTATTTGTAATATACAATAACTGCCTTAGTGTAGTAGACTTTTTCATTTTATTCATCTCTTCCCATCATGACCATCACCACACGTTTGACATGAGCAAATATATACATATACATATACACAAATACATGATTTTAAAATATTTAATCTTAACACCCCTAAATATAAACGTCTTTAATATACATATTATATATATACATGCTTTCATTAATCAAAATCTCTTTAAATCTTACTTCCACTTGATGATCTACAATCGGAAGATAAAAATTCATCGCAAGCTGTATTAATTCGATCCATTAAATTATTATTATTAGTGGTATTATTATTATTAGTAGTAGTATTGTTAATAGAATTATGATTATTATTCATATGACTACTGACAAATGAATAAGGAAAATATGTCGAGTGTAAATTTGTATTTGACTGTGATGCCGGTGTCATTGGTCCGTCAATTGGTATTGTTGTATTTGTAGTTGTTGTTGTTGTTGTTGTTATTGTCATCGGTGTTGTCAGTAATAATAACGATGATGCTGATGCTGATGACAGTGATGACGGCGTTGTTGTTGTTGTTGTTGCTGTTCCTATTGATGGTGGTGAGGATGTGGATGTTGATGACGAAATGAAATTGAATGTTGATAATTTCATTGGTAAATTATTTAAACATGAATTATTCATATGATACCTAGGTACTTGATGTTGTAGTTGTGGCGGTGATGGTAGTTGATGAAGATGATGCTGCAGATGAGGCTGATGATGAATATGTTGAAGATGATGATGATGATGAAGAGGAGGAGGAGGATGAGGCGGAAGATGATGATGATGATGATTATGACGATGAGGAAAAGTAAAAGTATTAGCAACACAGTTTGGTGAAAGTGGAAAATTATTCATTATACTAGTTCGATTATTGATATTCTCATACATCATAGTTAGCGGGTCAGGGAATCTTGATAATACACCTGTTAATTGTTCTTGTTGTTGTGGCTGATAAAACCGATTTACTGAATGGCTGTTCCTACCATCATCACCATGATCACCACTACTAACAACAACATCATCATCGTCATCACTATTGTCACTGATATTATTATTATTATTATTATTCTTTGTAATATGATTATCATCATTACTAGTTGTATTACTTTTCATGACACTATTAGTAGTATTTGTAGAATAAGTAACATTTGTTGAACAGGTTGTAATACAATCTATCGGATTCGTTGAACATTGTTCTAAATGTGATTGAATTGAAAACGTAGTATTTTCTAAACTTTTCAACAAATACGGATTTTGTAAATTACATTTATTCATTTCACATTGATTATTATTACGACTCATATTCATGGTTGACTGATCCATCATTATTGATGTCGGTAATATTGGTTGCATAGAATTCACTGTGGTTAAAGAAGAACTATTTAAAAGTGTAGAAAACACTGGAAAACTAGGCGATGATGTAATTGTAGTAGGTGTACATTGAGACGATGATATAATCGGTATTGATTTATTATCATGTCTATCGCAAGTAGGAACATTTATATCGACCGTTGAATTCAACTGATACACGGATGACGATAGTGGTATGGATGATAGCGAGGATATAACAGATGGTTTGGCAGTAGATAACACTGATGTTGATGAAGGTGAAGAGGAAGAGCAAGATGCGGATAATTTAGTCGTCAACAGTGAATCATTTATTGATGAATTTACGTTTAATGCCAATTTACATTGGGTAGTTAATGACAATTGATTTTTGTCATTAAAATAATTGATATCATTGTTCAATATATTTGTATATTTATTTCTATTCTCGGTGAGATTAGAAGAATACTGTTCATTACTATTATTATCATTATTATTACTATTTAATTCATGTGTTTTTACCACTGAGGGTGATGTTACTCTACTCGATGCTTTCTTTAATGACTGTTGTAACATGTTCAATGTTGAGATATTATTAGTTTTTATTGGTTCTTTTAAATTCGAAACTAATCCTGTCATACTTGTTGATGGTATTGTTAAGGTTAATGAATATGTAACATCATTAGTTAAATGAGATGATGTTGTTGTAATTGGCAAATTTAAAAATGTCGACTGTACAGTATTTTCATTTTCATTTAAATATTTATTCGATAATATATGATGATAATCATTTGTCTCATTGACGATTTGATTCAATTTATTACTTTGATTATTTACAAATGAATTTGATGTAGTTGATGAGATATCTTCAATGTTTGTTATGATTATTTGTTTCTGAGCACAAGTAGCAGTTGTATTTACTGTAGACTGTTGTTCATAACAATTTGATATTAATTCCGTAAGTCGATTATTTGACAATGTGATAGGTGAAGATTTTACAGTATTCACTACATTACTATTATTATTACTATTATTATTATCATCATTAACAATAGTAGTAGTAGGAGGAGGAGGAGGTGGAGATGTGGCAGTAATACTTGACGCCTTAGTTAAATTCAATGTACAATGATATGTTGATGATGGTAATTTGGGAGAGGATGAATTAGACGGTGGACATGTCAATGATATTTCATGGTTATATTTAATTTTACTGAGTAATGAATTATTATTATTATTATTGTTAGGATTGTTATAGTTTTTATTGATTTCCATTTGATGTGTATCGATGTGTTGTGTTTTTATTGATGGATCATAGAATTCGCATACTGTTGAACTTGGATTACACATACTTAAGTCAGCTTTATGCGTAATTGTTGTTGATTGATAATCATGTTGTCCTCTATGTAGATCAGTACAATTTGTTGTTGAATCTAAAGTCATTAAACCAATAGTTTCAAGTTCCATTCCTCAATCAAATAGTTTATTGAAAATTGTTTAAATATGCCGTGTGTACATAAATATTTATCGATTTCCTCAATGGTTGAATTTGCCCACAAAAGCCTTCTTTTTAATTAATCACTTAATAAATCTTTAAATGAAGATACCTCAAATCCAGATTAATTATTTAATATTATCAATATATTTTTCAGACTGTTACTTCTATACACGTTACGTAAAATTCACTTGAATTGCCCCCCTCTGACTTTAGCAAAGAGAAAAAAGTTAAAACAGAGAAAAGAGTGGATGAAATAACCAATCTAATTGGTAGAATATTCATCTTTCTTTCTCATATAGTTTATTGGTTAACTAGATGGTGCGATCACCAATGAAAATGTTTCTTACTTATCTTGATCCGCCTAAATTATTTTGAACCAATCAGAGAGCCTAAAAAATGACACATGTGACCTGATATTTTTTTCGATAAAAGGGGTATTTTTATTTCTATTCAAAATTAGGATTCAGAGAGTTGAACTGATCTATAAGAATAAAGGGCTGACACAAATTTATTGGATGTATATTTCATTTTGTTACTGTACGAAGTGTAACTGGAAAATCTAAGTTCCCAAGCCCACTGGGTAATATTATTTAAAATGGCGATATAATAAATATTAGAATATTGCTGTGAGACGGATAATAATTCGAATTCTTTGATGCATAAACTACGCGCAACGAAGAATCATACTGTCGAAACTTTTGATAAATTGTTAATAATGTGAAGAGAAATGCCAAAATCGCCATTGAAAATTGCTGATAAATGATGAAGTCTTTTTGAGTAAGAATAATGAGATAGGTCTTATGTCAATCCAAAAGAATAAATATTCATTGTACCTTTGTTTAACTTTGACAACAATGACTTAGTACTGATCAATAGTGAATGACTAATCTGAATTTGTATATATTCATAATACATTAGAAAATTTTCATTATTAAATTCAAAACTAACAAGAATGGTAAATATCTAATCTTCAATTATTAGGGTTTTTGATGAATGATAAATTAGATATTTGAGCATATTAACACTTCTCTGTTTATGGATAAATGTTAATATACTGCAGTTTTACTCTATAGAATAATAAACAATTAGAAAGCTGTAAGTGAATGGAAATGATTTGTATGTGGTTGGAAGAATGATTTTCTGGTTTTTCTGTAAGATTCCATATGGAAATTTGCATTCATAATGAAATCGGAAAATTGTCTGCTGATCTTACTAACAAATATTCAGGTTCCACGTAACATTATCTATCTATCTATCTATCTATCTATCTATCTATCTATCTATCTATCTATCTATCTATCTATCTATCTATCTATCTATCTATCTATCTATCTATCTATCTATCTATCTATCTATCTATCTATCTATCTATCTATCTATCTATCTATCTATCTATATGTTAACATGCATAATTTCTATTTTAAGCAGTTCTAGGATCCTGATGCTATATATACTTAGAATCTATCTCTTAAATCAAGCACAATCGACTTCTTGACATCGCGCACTCACAGATTCTTCTGCGAAATTTTGTCTCCACATATTACTGTGAATTTCCTCTCATAAGGTGTTGGAGCCAAGAACCAAACATCTTCTGAACACTTTGGGATTAACACTGGTTATCCATTTAACGTTAATCAATGACGAAAGTCTATAAATTTCAGTATCAGTATTTTCTACGGAAGTAATACTTTTATGAAAAGAAATAGTGGTAACATGTGTTACATATATTTGACATAAATAATGAATATAAACTGCTATCTCAATTACACCCTACGATTAACGATAAAACTTAGTTTATAATCTTTTATCATTTGTGACTTCACCTACTCAGTAGATTTTATCATATTTTGATGAAACATCGATTTTATTTCGGTCAATAAATTAGGAAATCATAAAAAATTTTCTATTGGTTTTGATCGAAATTTGACTAATTCGGTTAGATTGTAATCGAATAGAACAGTGTATTATACGTGTCATAAGTAGTAAATACAACTTAATCATAATCACTTAACTTACTGTCTAAAAAATTAATTTAGATTTGTTCACTTTCCTATCAAAACTGTACACTTGACAGCATGCCAAGTTCAGTTATCATGATACTAATTAGTTAAGAAGCTAGAATTTATTCGAAAACCTTTAGAAACTTCAGTTAATTTATAACAAACGGTACGATTATGATTAGAAGATATTATCGGTGAGTAACATACTCTCTCTCTCCCTCATTTTCTCATTTTTTACACACTGAAATCATCAATCAATCATTGTTAGGCCACCATTAGAAACCTGGAAGCACTGGACGGTATGGGACTTCTAAGCAGTGCGCATCCGCCGCTTCTGCTACTCGCAGTGTTCGAACCCAGGATCTTCGGTCTTACGCACGAACGAATAACTTCTGGAGCACTGGGTCGGCATCAAACGGATTTAATGTCTAACTTTGATTTGATTTGATTTATTTCCCCGGATTATGAAGACTTTAACATCTGGAGGAAAGCACAGTATCCAATGGATTACCAGGACGCAGCTAGACGATCTGGACTTCACAGATGACCTGGCTCTTCTATCGCACATGCAACAACAAATGCGAGAGAAGATAACCAGTGTAGCAGCAGCCTCAGCAGCATTAGGACTCAACATAAACAAAGGGAAAATCAAAATTCTCCGATACAGCACCAACCAAATCACTCTTCTTGGAGATACCTTGGATGACGTTAACACCTTTATATATCTGGGCAGCATCATCGACGAGAAAGGTGGATCCGATGAAGATGTGAGGTCGCGGATTGGCAAAGTAAGGGCTGCATTTCTACAGTTGAAAAATATCTGGAACTCCAAACAACTTTCAACTAAAACCAAAATCAGGATTTTCAATACATATGTCAAGACAGTTCTACTGTATGGAGCGGAAACATGGAGCACTACCAATGCCATCATTCAGAAGATACAAGTGTTTATTAACAGTTTTCTACGCAAAATACTTCGGATTCGTTGGCCAGACACCATCAGCAACAACGTACTGTGGGAGGGAACAAACCAGATTCCAGTGGAGGAGGAAATCAGGAAGAAGCGGTGGAAGTGGATAGGACACACACTGCGAAAAACACCTAACTGTGTCACGAGACGAGCCGTCACATGGAACCTTTAAGGCAAAAGGAAAAGAGGAATGCCAAGGAACACATTACGCCGAGAAATGGAAACAAACATGAGAAGAATGAACAAAAATTGGACGGAACTGGAAAGGAAGGCCTAGGATAGATTAGGTTATAAAAATTAGTCATTGTATCAGTAAATACTCTTTTTAAACACTGTAATTATATCCATGTAAAATCATCTGTTAATAGCTGCCTCATTATTAATTGATTTAGTCAATCTATGCTTTAAGTCCTTAATACTAATATCTTCATCTACACTACACTGACATGTAATTGAGATTTATAAATATATTCCTTTTGTTAGTTACCGGTTACTCTCGAAGTATGTGATGTTTTGTTGAGTTCCATAGTTCTTATAAACACATATACAATACATTATCTTTTGCTATCGAAGAAATCATAAAACCTAATACAGTGATTTTATGCATTAAACCTTTCATAATAACTAAAACTACATTAATACTGTTTATATATATATATATATATATATATATATATATATATATATATATATATATATATATATATATATATATATATATATATATATATATATATATATATATATATATATATATATATATATACATATTTATTCAATGTGAACTTATTGTTGTTGACAAAAGAGACAGATGATGAATAACCCATCTCTGAAATGATTATGAATCAGTCTATTTACAGGAACAATAGGTGAATTCAACTTTTCTTGTTCACTATTTATACATTTTTTCCAGTTAGTCTGTTTATTATAATCAAACATTAGCGGTGTAATAAAAATGTCAATCAAAGTTATATATATATATTTAAGTGACTATAGGTTAACTGATAATACTATCCTTACACTGTAATAAAATATGGTATAAACTGTGCTGTTATTTACTTGTTTCACATACCGGCTATAGTCAATTCAGTGTATAAATGTCATCAAATGCATACTTCCTCTACAAATCATTGACAAACAAATAATAAAAAAAATGATCAACATATTTCTGTGTTATGCATCAAATTAAATAAATTTAAACCACATGTCTTGAACTATTTATTGAAGAATTAGGTAGTGGTTAGCAATGCAATGCAAGACTCACATTTTTTTTCATATCATTTGTGATTCGTTAGTTAGATACAGTAGTTAAGGAAACAATGTGTTAAGGCGGTTGCATTGAAAGTTACTAGATCAAAGTTTCTGTATGAATATATAAATGGCAGTGTATGTGCAACTTCAGCTGATTAATCCAATTAAGGAAGACATGTGTGCCCTTGATTCTATTTGGACATATATTGAACTCTGATTAAAATGCTTTTGACTTCATGGCTGCCAAAACAGACTGACAGATCCCATGCAATAACATACTTTCTGATAATCAGAGAAATGATAAAAAATATGGGAGATAGGGAGGATTCTTAAAATAGCTAGGTAAGCCAAAAGATACAATCTGGAGGTGCTTGGAATAAATGAAACTCATTGGATACAAAGTGGAAAGAAAAGATTAGCTCCGGTAGAGATACTGTTGTACTCCGGACACGACGAAAAAAATACCCCATACACAGCATGTTGCATGGATGCTCCCCCCCAAAAAAACACGAAATACACACATCGTGTGGGAATCTCATAGACCCCGCATCATCAAAACATCCTTCAAATCAAAGAAGGCGATTTTAATAGAAATATCATCCAGTATTATCCACCTACTAACAATAACAACCAAGACGATAAAGATCATTTTTATAAGAAGTTGAAGTCGATCGTACAGAATACACAGGAAAGTGTCTAACGATTCAAAGTCCGAATGGATAACATCGAATATGAAGATATCGTCAGA